AAAGAGAAAAATTTTACAATTTCTTTGTATCCCCCAGAAATTAATTTTTCAATTATTTCATACTTTGTCAAAGAAAAAAGGAAATTTTGCCATTTCTTTGCATCCCGCCAAAAATTGATTTTTGAAGAAATTTTACAATTTATCGTTTCATTCTGTTCTTCGTTCAATTTCACCTAACTATGATTAATAATTTTCAAAGAACGAATACGAACAAATCCATGTAAAATAACGATCGTTTCATAGTAAAATTCACTCACATCTAATTACGATTGATAATTTTCAAAGAACGAATCTGAACAAGTCCAAGTAAAATGATTATCGTTTACGACGATCGTTTCATGGTAGAAATATCGAGATATCGCGAACGTCGGGAAATTTCGAAATTCAAGTTACTCGAATCATCGGAAGTTCAAAGACTGGGAAATCACAGAATCGTGATCGGTGTGGTTCGTGTGAAACGATCGCGGGCTCAGAACTCGAGCGTCTAGGGGGTTGATTGGGAGCGAGTCGAAGCAACCAGCACCCCTTAGAGCGAGACGCGTCGTTACCCAGCATGCTCCATTTACCACGATAGCTACGAATACGTGTATTACAGCCGAGGTATCGAAATTTCCCGTCCCCTGGTGTCCTAACGCCAGCCTACGCTGCACCAGCCATTTTACGTGAAACGACAACCCTCCGTCACATAACGATCCGATGTTACGCGGAGAAAATTTCGCGGAAACTTCAGCACGCTTCGAGGAGTGCAGACGAGCGTCTGTCAGTAAGTTTCTAGCCAGAAAATTTATCTTATACGTCGTTTTACGTATCGTCGATTTGCTAGAAAAATGACAGAAGCACATTTTTCAGGAAATCGGTTTGAAATTTTCTATGATAGAAATTTATTAATTATTCGATTATTTATCAATGAAAATTTTTTGTTGTCCTTCACAATTTAGCTAATAATTTTTCAGATTTCAGGCTCTCTGATAAAATACTGTTTATGTGTATTGTTTACTATTAAAAGAAACTGTTAAATTATGACATTTCTCCTGTTAAACAGCACAATTATGATTTTAGCGGAATACCTCACTTTCGGAGTTGTTTCTTTTGGATACCTCAGAATTGACGATTTTTCAAATGCGTAGCAATGTGATTTTTCCGCTCGCAACATTCGCGGTATCGCGCGAAATTTTCTACCTTTTATTTCTTCGTCCTTCCTTTTATTTCTACCCCTTTTCTTTTTATTCAAAGAGCAGTTTGGCCCAGGGTAGAAAGTTCCGAGGTGTGAAATTCTGTTCGCGAGTTTTTTCCAGCATTCGCGATTACAAAAGTTCGCCGGCAGCGATCTTTGGCGAAGCCGGGGCGTTTGAACGGCGAAACACCGGGCACGAAGTTCAGGAACGAAGACTTTTTTTCGGGAACAAGGCTAGCTCTGCCTGCGGTTGCACGCTGCTCGCTCAGTTTCACGCGTCTACAGTGTTCATAAAAATTTTTCTTTTCGCCAAACAAAGAGGAATACGTAACGCAATATTCCCCTTACCAATCATATATTTCTCGAAATAAATTGTTTTAAATCACGCAGAATATTTCTATCGCAACAATCGTTACTTTCGATACTTAGAAATTCACAGGCTGAGTTATTTTTACGTTAATTAATTGAAAACAACATTTACTTTGACAAATTTATACGTTAAAAAATTCAATCATTAGTGTACCGTTTCACTTTCACCGAAAAGATTCAAAAGGGTCACACAATCGTGCTTGAAAAGGTCCTCGATTTTTTGGCCCAAGTGACTATTGACAATTTGCAGGGAAAATTTCTGTGGTCTAAATTGTCAAATGTTTTCTCCCTGAATTTTCTCTGCAAACGTATGTGTTTTGTGTTAACTCTCACTTAAGAACACAACAGTTTGAATGGAAGATGCAGAGAAAAAAAAAGGTGTCAACGAGTGTTTCAAGCGCGATAATCGAATCTGGAAAGTGAGACCACTCGATTATTAAATGCATCGTCTTATGAAATCGAGCGGAAGTAAAGCATCGTGTGCAATCTGTGAGCGGGGTTTAAAGATAGGAATCGAGCAGAAAGGGTCAATTAAGAGTTTTAAAGCCGGGTGAAAATAGGTTTATCGGCGATTCCCGTTCGCAAGCTTTTTCCAGCCGCTCGTTCACTCTCCATAAACAGCCAATGGAATGGTATTGGCAGCGAAAAAAAGCGTCAGGTGCATGGCGTATAGATTCGAGCGGCGTCAAATTGATCGCTTAATAATGCAAATGCGATTTCAGTCTTTAACGCCGACTCGACCGTTCGTCGTGCTTAATAGGATCGCATTTAAAGAATTGCAGCTGATTTCGGGGGGTATTGGTGACACGCGCAGCGCAAATATTGACTTTTCATCGCGAAAAGCTTTTCGCGTTCTCGAAGCAGGGCTTTGTTCCGATCCGTTAATTCGTTCTGGCCAAATGAAATGCTCTTTCCTCGCTTTTACTAGCCCGTGACGTGTAGAAATTAACCTATTCGGGGTTCATTGACGTAGATTTCTTTGAAAATTTCAATATTTGTGTTGGAAAAAGTGAATTAGTAAGGGAAACTATAATGGCCATTCGGCACATAATTTTCAACCAAAAAGAAAAAAGAAGACAATTCAATTTCTATGGATTTAAAATGAATAAAATATAATCACATCAAAAATTAGATCATCTTTCTCTAATTTAAAAAACATCATCCCTCAAGAAATGACGATAAATTTCTAAGCAGAAGCTGTGACGAATATTTTATGCATAATCCTTTCAAAATAATTGCACGTTTTCTTCAAAATAATTTCAATTTCATCGAAAACTTCTGTTTTAATAATTTTCCATAATTTTGCAAAACGATAATTTCACGTCAGTAGATTGAACATTGCAAGTTCTAACGAGAGCCGCGAAAGGAGGTGAATTCTGTCAGAGAAATCTTCTATCAATTTCCCTTAATCATCTACAGACTGCGAGTGCACGGTGGGAAAAAATCAACCGACTACCTGTCACCGGTGCCACGTAAAAAGGCAATAAATCGAAGCGGTTTTTCCGACAGGCCAGCGAGGGCAGAATTCGAAAGAAGTTGGTCAGGGGATCGATCAAAATTTCGAGGGGCATATTCAGTCTGTCGCGTCGCAAGCATTCCGGCATCATCGCAAATCTTGATTAACCTCCTTCGTCTTCGTCTTCCGCCGAGTTCCGGGGCCACGGAGTGCCGTGGCGGAGCGGCGTAACATCAATTTTCATCCCTCAATGACGCGCGTCGTGTTCGAAAGGACGATCGTTCGCGCTGGTTGTAAAGTGTCACCCGTTAAGTTGTTCCCATATTTAATCCTTAATGACAGCGAAGGTGGCATACCGCCCCTGAGACGTCTGAAAGTAGCTGAAGCTTTGGGAATTTTTTTCAGAGCTAACTACCGAATGAAAAATTCCCATTTTTTCGGAGGACGTACATGTAACTTTCAGTATTGTCCTCCAATTTTTATATCTAAAAATATTACGAAATGGAGGAGTTATTGCGAAACTTCTTGTGCTAGATTCTGCAAATTTAGACGCATCAAGTTTGTCTAAAAAAATTTGATAAAAGATTGTTTTTGTTTCCGTCTGATTGAAAATTGAAGACTTTTTAATTGCAATATTCATTTTCAAATATGAGGATTCATTTTAAATCCGTGTAAATATTGAACATTTCGCTTTGTAGGGGGTTATTTACCGAGGATTCAATATTCTGTGAAATTTATCAGGTTGAATGAGAGTTTGTGAAAAATGCAGCTTGTTTAAATGTTTCATAAAGTCTCGTCTTGTAACCAAAGAGAAAAGCTGCGCAAGTTCATCTTGCTTTTTTCCGTTAATGTCGAGTGGCTGCGTAAAGGTGAGTAAAAGTTTCGATTTCGAAGTTCCCTTGCCAGCGGAGATGAAAATATTAGAAATGTAGAGAAGCTCTGGATATAGTAATACTTGATTAAAATATAACAATGGCTCAGAGTAAAATGAAGTCTTTGAAACGATGAAATAATGTCTTTAATACGTCAAGTTCTCCTTACTTGTTTCGTAGGCAATGTAACAAACTTTAATTTCGTGTAATTAATTACATATTTACAATAAATTATTATATCGACAGTTTCTATGTTAAACATAATTTAAGGACGATACATCATCGTATAAGTTATTACAATTAGTATCGTTCTGTTTTATTGAAACGTTTATTGTTCAAATTTATCGACAATGCTATTATCTACCTTTTTCAGAATACTTAATTTAACTGTTGAAACTGACATTAAAACCAAGTTGAAGCTAGAAATATTACGTGAAGTGTGACTGGTTCTATTAAAAACATTTAAGATCAACAAGAATTGATTTTTATCAACTTTCTCTTTCGTGTGATTCTCTAAAATAATTTATAAAATAATCGACAACTATCTCCAAACTTACTTCCTCGCACAATTACACGAAACGTGCAGACTTTCAGACAATAGTCATTCACGGTTTCACCGACGTGTGCCATTGTCGAATAATCACACGTTTACCAAACCATTGACTAAAACTACTTGTTTCATGTGACGTTTCAATATCCATTGTGCGTCAGGTTATTTACGAAGGAATTGTTCCAAGTCTGTAACCAGGTTTTCGACTTAAAATTCCCTACCAACATTTCACGTGCAAAATTAATATCGACTTGTACGGAAGTGTGCAGTGATTTCACGTACACGCGATTTTCATGATATTCGTTTGAAAAATTGTCGCGTATTTTACGCGAAATGATAAATTGCGATATTGCTTTTTTTGAATCAAATACCTGTCTGGGGAATTCACTGTTGATGAAAAAGTAAATGAAATTTCGAAGAGCCGCGTAAATGAAAAGCATAACGATTTGTTGTATTTGCATCGTCGAATATAGTAAACTCGCGTGTAAATAGGGAGATGAGAAAATTAAATAAATTGCTGTTCAACGGTGGAGATATTTTATGAGAGTGTCACTTAACACTGGTACGATTTCATTCCAGAATTTCAGCACCGTTTCAAGTAGCTGCTGTGGTACTGGTCCTCGCAGCCACGATCTCAGCTTTAATTGGGCATTGCAATTCGGATCATCGAACTCTGATCGCCTGTGGACTGTTCCTGCTCAGTGGTAAGCTTTCAATTCGAACCTTATCTTAACAATAATGTTTCTTCTGCTAAATTAGTCGAGATTGTTCGAATAGAGGACAAGGAATCTCGTCCTTTCTCAAAATACAAAATTACTAAATACAAGAACCGAATAAATGAAACAAAAATTTTCAATTCGAAATTTATCTTAACAATAACATACTTTCCACTAAATTACTCAAGATTCTTCGAATAAAAAACAAAAAATCTCATACTTCCTCACATAAAAAGGAAGACTAGAAACAAGAATCAAATAAATAAAGAAAAAGGTGTCAATTCGAAATTTATCTTAATAACATTCCTTCAACTGAATTACTCAAGATTCTTCGAATAAAAAAAAAGAGTCTCATACTTCCTCACATAAAAAGGAAGACTAAAAACAAGAATCAAGTAACTGAAGAAAAAGCTTTCAATTTAACATTCCTTTTACTGAATTGCTCAAGATTCTTGAAGAAAAGAATCTAATTCAACCTCACATAAGAAAGAGCCTAAAATTCAGAACCAAATTACCCTGAAATAATGAAAACGAAAAGTAATCAAGTCTCTTTGAATCCAAAATCGAAATCTCGTCACTTTCGTCAAAACTCTACAACCCTTAAACAAAAGAAAATCGAGAAAAATTGGTGGGCGAAGAAGAAGTAATCAGCAGCCCCCCGGAACCAGTAGTAAGCAGCTGAGGAGCCGCGCAATCTGCTCAACCCGAAAAGTACATTTCACACTTAACATAATCCCGACTTTATAAAGAGAAATGCTACCGTAGCCGAGTACCATAAAGTCTCATAAAAAGTGCGCTACGGTACAGCGGTCGCTTCTAATCAGCGATGATCCGGGAAAAAATCGTCGGTCGGAGACAAGTCTTGCGGAGAAACGTGGTGATTAACACGATGGACGGTTTCCCGGCGCAAGAAGGAAGGACAAAGAGGCGAAAAAAGGGTGGCGATTTTTGAAAGCTTGACGAGCGTTTGCTCGCTGGTCACGTATCGAGTCCGTGGCTCTCTCTCTCTCTCTCTCTCTCTCTCTTTCTTTCTTTTTCTTTCCTCTACGTTCTTCGGAGAACTACTGGCAGTGTATCAACCGCACTTTTCCCTCGTTGAAAAGCTAACAATGTGATCCTTGGTCCTCTGAACTCTCCTGGCACGAGGTTCACGCGTGAACAGTTCATAGATCACCCAGGAATCACGTATACGAACATTGCTTCTTTATCCCCCAGCGGGGGAAGTTTTGTATTCTTGCCAAGCTGCTTCTTAATATTCCAACGCTGTTGTTTCCACACGAAACGTATTGTTATATTAAATAAAACGTTTACGTACCGGATGGATCCCTTGGTCATTTGGGTTTTGCTCTTCTTCTTCTTCTTTCGAAATGTGCTTTTCTCGTTTAGGTGTAATTGAATTTTATCGGATGTCGTGGGAAATTTTCACTATTTTCTGGTTAATGAATTTGCAGGAATGTTTGTTCGTAATTATTCATTGCAATAGTCGCCTTTTCGTAGACTGTGTTTTATCGAAGAATATCTTCTTTTGTTGAAAAGAGGTTCAAATTTTAGCTTATGTGCAACATTATGTCATATGCTTCAGAAAATTCAGCGTTTAAAATTAGACATTTAATTAACTATATCACTGCATTATTTTTCTTTTAAACTAAATCATATCGAAATTATAGTTTCCTAAAATATGCGTTCCTGAGTTCATTGGAAATATGTGACTTTATCTTTTTTTTAAACTAAATCATATCGAAATTATATTTTCCTCAAATATACGTTCGTGAGTTCATTGCCTATCATTATTACTTGAAAATGTGCGACATTATTGGTGGCATTCTTAGTGTTTTCTGAAGGAATAAATTAGTCTATTGTCCTGAAAGGGTTAAAAGGAGCAATTTAGGAGACCGTATTCCCCGAAGTTGCTTCGATGCACTTAAAAAAAAAAAAAAAAGAAAAAGAGGAGAAGAATGAACATCAGCGTCTATTGTCTTGCAATTTTAACCATGAATCAGCTTGGATTTTGCCAAAAATTTCTAGCAAACAAAAATTGCAGACGACTGGCACAGCGAGTGTGCTGCATTTTTCCTGCAGGACGAAACTGTTGCTGAGTTCTCTGGACGTGCATGGAATCAGAGATGCCTGAAAGGATGCCGCGTATCGTTCTACAGCGGAGGATATGGAACAGTATCGGGGAAATTGTGGACGAAAAGGATGGGAGGGCCAGAAAACTCCGTTTCGCGGTAACGTAACTTAACGAAGTTGAGAATCGTCGTGTACCACAGGCACTCTGAGAAAATGAAGTCTAGAAATCTAGTTTTCGGCTTGGAAACGAATTTTTATTTCGCCCACGAACGTTCCCATATATAGAAAAGAGCAAGCCGATTGTTTCCTCTGGCGAGACAGGAATAAATTCGTACGAATTTCCCGTAATTCTCTGTATCATCGAATTCGCGGTTTATCGATGGAGAACAATTGTCAATTTGCTACCGGGTAAATAAAATTCTCGATATACGCGATTTAGTAATGTGCGACAAATTCCTGATAATCCTGACAAAGATGGTAAATACGGGAAGAGACGTTTTAATCGGTTAAATTAACGAGAGCCGGTGTGCTGTACGCGGAGCCTGAAAATGAGCATTATTACGTGGAAATAGACGGTGTTATACAATTATGCAGGCTCAACGAATGATAAACAATTTAATAAATGACATAAATCGTTCTGCGTCGGGGAATTAATAGTCAGATGGAAAATGAAGCGTTCATTTGACAAAGTTACTTATTGGCGTAACGAGAGCGAAGCTAATATCACAGCTGTTTCACCTATCTTTTAAAATTTCTTCTGTCTGTTCATTTCAATCTTGCTATTATTGCCATTATGCTATTCCTACAATTTCTATTTTTTTGTCATTTGTATATAGCTTGAATTGTTTCTACTTTTCTGTGTTTTCATTATTAGCACAATTTTTCTATTTTTTCTATTCTTTCTGTTCATTTCAACCTTGCCATTATTGCTCCTTTTTCTACAATCTCTATTTTTGCCATTTGTATGATTCGAATTTTTCCTACCTTTTGTGTCTCTATTATTAACACAATTTTTCTTTCTCTTTCATATTGTGTATTTTATATTTCCATTGTCCATTCTACGTAATCGCTTCTTTTTTCTTACATTTCCCATTTTTGCCATTTCCACGGTTTCAATTGTTCCCACCTTTTGTGTCTCTGTTATTAACACGGTTTTTCTTTCTCTTTTCTATTTCGTACTTTCCTCGTTCCTTTCATTTCTTGATTGGACAATTTCTACGATCGAAAATTCTCGCCAAGTGCCGGTGAAAGTTTACAAATATGTATCGAGTGACTTCTCGGCTGAGTATCCGAACGTAGAATGTAAAAGGCGGATGAAAATGAAGCAAAACGAATCTCCTGGGAAAGTCTGACGCTTGTGAGCGCGCGACGGATGATCCGGGGATAGATTGGCACGATTAAAAATCACTCGGATGGAATCGCCGTTCGGCCGGAAGGATAAAACGCGACGTCGCTCTGGCTTCGACTTCCGATCAAATAATTCCACGATCGTCTGCCAGGCTGTAATTAGCGACCAGTTTATTGAGCCTCGACTCGTTTCGAGGGGAGGCTCGATTTCCGTCTGATAACTGTAAATCTGGTATCGTCCTAACTCGGGGTCTAATTTATAAGCAGCAGAACGTTGCAACAGCAGCGATCAAAAGAAACATAAACAGTACCAATTGAAATAAAAATAAAAAAATAAATTATTCGTGTAAAAATTAATCAATTCCATGCACGCAATTTAAATTTGGAGCAAGGAAAAAGCTTTCTATTATTTTTATAAAAATAAATCAATTCTATCTGTGATCTAAATTTTAAGCATGGAAAAGTCATTGAAATACTTTTTTTTGGAAAATTACTTAGGCCATTATTTTAATTTTTGGTGCATATAATGTGTAAATTCACCCAAAATTGAGAGTTAGGATACTATGATAGTCTCAATTATAATACTCACGAGACCAATTCGTCCACAAAATTTTCTGCTGCTTTTTTCCACGAGAACATGGGACGAACGACGTGAAAACGAAGGATAAGTGAAAATTGAAGGCGTGGAGTGCGGACGAAACACTTGAATTCGCGAATAACACATTGTCCCGTGATCGACACGTTTGGAAACATCAGAAATCGAACGATCTCCCATTGTCGTTGACGAAGGTAGAGAATTTGTTGGCGGTGTGTCGGCGTCGAAACATTTTTCCGTTGTTCCCAACGATACGTGGGACACACGGCTGCGATGATGAAGTCATGCAGAACACAGCCACTGGATCCATTTCCTCCATTTCCCCCCTTGCTTCTTTCTCTTATTTTCAAGCCGAGCCGCTGCTCCGCGCTGGTGGGATTTCGCGAAAAGCCGGTATGTTTCGCGTCGTGAATTCGAAGATATAAACACGCGAGAAACTCTCCAATTTTATACACTATACGAAAGTTTTTTGACAGCTATCGAGAACCGAGAAGTCACGCGTACGCATTTGTTCGCTCGCGCGGGTGCATCTCTGTTCGGCCGTCCCTGAGCGCGGGCTCTACGCGCGCTCTGATTGGCCAGTGTTTTTCGTTAATAATTCAAAAACGAAGCTTCAAACTGGATTTTGGAAAAGGAAAAGGTTGTTCAGAATCACCTCAGCTACCCCCCATTTCCGGGTGTTCGAGGAGTTACGGGACACCCTGTATACGTGCTATACGCACACCTATAAGTTTCGCTGAAAGCTCGCGTTATTTTCACTCAACGAAATTTTAATCGAAATGTAAAAGCTCTCCGACGATCGCCGAAATATATGTCACTTAAATGTGAATGTTTATTTAACTCGTATCACCGTTTCGATATCCGAATATTTGGAAATATCTAAGTACTTTTTTCTTTGAACTTTTTTATTCGTGGTAATTCAATTTTTACGAATCTACCAATGCAAATTTAATTTTCAACTATTATAAATAAATAC